AAGGTAAATGCTATATAAATGCTTATTCCCTTATTCCTTTCCCCTCTTCCCCTCTCACCACCTCTACCTCTGGAAATAATATGTGAAACAATACAACTGTTCTTAGACCATTAATCATTTGCTCTGTGGCTCCACTTACTACTTATGACTTTCAAAACATCTCCCTGACTTTCATTCCCTTTAAATATATTGTCTCTCCCTATTAGAATGTAAGCTCTTTGAAGGCAAGGGCTATCTTACTTTTTTATATTTGAATTTTCTGCACTTAGCATTTTGCCTAGGACAAAGTAAATGTTACTAAGTGCTTTTTATTCATTCATGTATTCATTCAAGGAATAAGATAAAGTCACTGAACACACCTGCATTTCATTCCCTGGGACATATTTACCAACTCATTTATGTTCTCATATGGTACTCTTTAGCTAAGCAAAGTTAAATGAACTCTTTTTTTCCTACCAGTAATTATGACACTCAGAGTGTAGCTGAAAGCAGGGAGAGGGGTACTTCATGAAGGCATCAAAAAAAATGTCAGAAATGGAGCTAGAAGGATACTCTTTTTTCTTCCATGATGAAAAAGGAATATTCCTAATTTCCTTGAAGATCCAAAGTAAAGGGTAATAGAATGACAATGCTGAGGATTTGGTTACATTCAGAACTGGGGGGTGGGAGAGTGGCAGAATGGTCAATTCAGTTTAAATCAACAAACATTTATTAAGTTCCTATCATGAACCAGGAACTATGCTAGACTCTGGAGACACCACAAAAGCTCAATAGCCCTGGAAACACAAGGAGCTTTCCTTGGCAGGGAGAGGGCAGAGGGTAGAGGATTAATAATATGAATAAAAATAAATAGCATACAAGACAAGGAGTAAAGGAGACAAAGGAGAGATCAGACAACGAGCTCTAAAAATATTTGTTGAGAGAGGACACTAAAATTTTAAATGATTGGAGAGTCCAGACAGAGGAGATAATGTCTATGTTGAGCCTTGAAGAAATAGCTAATAGCTATTCTATAGCTTAAAGTTTCTCAAAGCTCTTTACACATATATTCTCATTTCAAAGGCTCAGAGGAGCATAAATTCAGAGGTGGAATGGCCATTAGAGGCCAGTGAGTACAACTCCTTCATGCTACAAAAGTTGAGGCAAGTGATCCTCACATCAACTCTAGGAAGTTAATATTATATTTACTATCATTTACAAATCAGAAAACTGAGGCTAAGAAAAGTTAAGTAACTTGCCCAGGGTCACACAGCTAGTAAATGTATGTGGAGGGAATCAAATCTAGGTTTTTTTGATTCCAGATTTACTGCTTTGTATACTATGCTAGGCTGCCTCCTAAGAAATATAAAGAAACCAAAGGCAAAATCCAAAGGGTCCTAGACATGGAGTTTGTAAGATCTGGAATCAAATCCTAACTTTGCCACTTATTAGTTGTGTCAATGTGGGCATATCATAGCCTATCAGAGCTTCAGTTTCCTCTTCTATACAACTGAGATAATTTAACATACTACAATCATATGTAAAAAACCCAAATCACGTGATTTTATTAATAGATACAGAAAAGTCTTTGACAAAGTACAACACTAATTTATGACATAAATATAGAAGGATTTTTAAAAAAAATGATAAAGTATCCATCTAAAACAAAAAGTTAGCATTATATGTAATAGGGAAATACTAGAACCATTCCCAATAAACCTAGAAGTAATGCATTTTTGCTTTGGGAAAATTTACATTTTCCTAATGTAACTTGACATGGTTCTAGAAATAAAAATAGCAATGAGACAAAAGAAAGAATTTAAATCCACCAAAATAAGTAAAGAAGAAAAAACCTATTCCTGTTTGCTGATGACACAATGGTTGACTTAAAAAATCCTAGGAAATCAACAAAGAAAGTAATTGCTAAAAATTAATAAATTCATATAAGTATCAGGTTACTAAAGAAACTCATAAAAATGAGTGTTTCTATAGCTAGTAATTATAAATTCCAGAAGGAAATAATCAAATAGGAAGCACCATTCAAAATAACTACAAAAGATATAAAATAATTGAGTGTCAATTTAGCAAAGCAAACTCAATACATGAAGAAATATAACTGCAAACTATCCCTTAAGGAAACAAAGAATAATTTAAGTAACTAGAGGAATATTCAGTGCTCATGGCTAGGCTGTGCCAATATAATCAAAATGACAATATCTCCAAAATTAATTACAGATTCAGTGCTATATCAAACTACCAAGAGGAAACTTTCGTTGAGCTAGACAAAATAATCACAAAATTCTTCTGGAGCAATAAAAAGATCTAGAATATGAAGGAATGTAATAGAAAAAAAGGAACAAAAGGGGACTATCACTTGTAGACCTCAAATTATATCAGTTATCAAGATTATTTGGTAAGAGTTAAAAATATTGATGTAACAGGCTAGAGGAAAAAGATTCAGAAATAACTTAGTGTTTAATAAACTCAGAAACTTAAGTGTTTAATAAACCTGAAAACATAAATTACCTAAAGGGAAAAAAACCTCCTTATTTAACAAGAATTTCTGAGACTGCTGGAAAGTGGTCTGGCAGAAATCACCAACATCTTACACCATATGCCAGAATACTCTCAAAATGAATGCATGCCCTGAATATTAAAAACATGCCATAAACAAAACAGAAGAGAACCAGATCATGTGTCTTTCACTGCTGTGATGAGGGATAAATCTTTAGCAAATAAAGAATAAAGGCAGTCACAAAAAATGAAATAATTTTGATTGCATGAAATTTAAAAGTTTCTGAATGAATGAAATTAAAGCAATTAGGATGAGAAGGGAGATACTTGACGGGGGGGGAACTTTGTATCAAATATTTTTTGTGAGGATTTGTTATCTAAGATAGATAAGAAATTAACAAAAATATTTAAAAACAAAAGCCATTCCCCAATATATGAGGATGGAAGGATGGGGGGGAAGCAGTTCTAAAAAGAATTCCAGACTATCAACGGCCATATTTAAAAAAAATAAAGGCAGCATGGGGTTAGTGATACAGAGCTGGTGACAAAACCAGGAAGACCTGGATCCAAAAGTCACCTCTGATACACAATGGCTGTATGACCCTAGATGAGCCACTACTAAGTATCTTAAGCATAAGTAACTCCTAAATATTCCTGTCAATTTTCTAAGATTATAAGTTACAGAGGTGTCAACCTTCATTGGTAAAAGGAGTTGTTTTGGGGCAGCTAGGTGGCACAGTGGATAGAGCACCGGCCCTGCAGTCACGAGGACCTGAGTTCGAATCCAGCCTTAGACCAAACACTTGACACTAGCTGTGTGACCCTGGGCAAGTCACTTAACGCCAACTCCCCCCCAAAAAAAAAGGAGGTTTTTTTGGTTTGTGTTTTGTTTTGTTTTGTTTTCATTAGGGAGTTCCTAATACCAATAACAGGTCCAGTCTCTGTTCCCTAGTCTCTATGAAAGAACATTGTATATTAATACTAAAATAAGAAATACACAAGGTTTTACCTAAAACTCAACCAATTGTCAAAGATGACAAAAGGGAGGCATTCAATGTTCAAGAAACTGTGGAGGGAGCAGCAAGGTGGCACAGTGGACAGAGCACTGGCCCTGAAGTCAGGAGGACCTGAGTTCAAATCCGGCCTCAGACCAAACACTTGACACTAGCTGTGTGACCCTGGGCAAGTCACTTAACCCCAAATGCCAAAAAAAAAAGAAAAGAAAAAGAAACTGTGGAGAGACAAGTAGACTAGTGCATTGTGGGTGGGGCTATGAATTGTTCCATCCATTCTAGAAAACATTTTGTCATTATGTAAACAAAAAAAAAGTAACCAAAAGGTCCATATCATTTCACCCATAAATTCCATTGCTAGACATATATACCAAGGAGCTCATTGACAAAAACGAAAAGAAAGGCTTCATATATGACAAAATATTTATAGCATCAGTTTTTGTAGTAACAAACAACCGGAAACAAAGTAGGTGGGCATCACTTAGGCAATGGCTAAAACCAACTGTGGTGTGTAAAAGTAATAGAATATTACTGTGCTGGAAGAAATGATGAAGTAAAGAAGAAATGACTCTGGAAGTCATTGGAAGAAATGACTACGATGAAGTCAGAGAAGAGCTGGAAGACATTAATTGATTGTAAGCGAAGTGAAAACAAGGAAAACAATGTATAACATAACAACGTAAGGGAGCAAAAAACCCCCGACAAAACTAGGAAATTCTAAAGACCAAATTTAGTCTCAAAGAAGAAATATGAAAAAAAAAACCCTTCTTCTGATTCTTTGAAGAGGTGGTGGACTATGGGTATGGATCACTACAAAAATATATTATATTTTTACATGTATTTTATAAATTTTTCTTTTTATTATTTGTTATAATGGCTGTCTGGAAGAGGGAAGGAATGCTTTGGGAAACGGTGATATAAAAAGAAAAAAGCATCAATAAAATCTGTTTTTAAATTTTGTACTATCTTCTGGTATTGTGAGCACTATATAAATGTGAGCTATTACAACTGTACCAACATGATGCATATATGCATATACAGGGAAGAATATTGATTTAAATATAAATATTGAATATGTATGAATATGTATGAATATAAATATATGGATATTGATAGATGAATAGCAATTCATCTTTCTGTCATGATTAGGTTATATTTGATATATACGTATCTATATCCATATTTTTATCCATATCTATATTCATACTCCTCTCATCTTTCAAAATGATCTCCCTAATAGGCAGGGATATATGGAGATACACACACACACACACACACACACACAACATATACATACATATATATATATATATATATATATATATATAATCTTGAACAGATGAAAACAGTTACAAATTTAAGGGATGGACAAATAATCTTTGAAAATCTTTTCTCATTATTCTCTTCTAAAGCTACAGCTTAAAGTTTTATGAATGGAGACAAGAGAATAAAACGTGAGGACAAGAACGACTGCCGATAATAAGGATGACTTACTTGCTGGGCTTGCTTTCTGCGCTGTCCGCCACATAGTACCCAGGTTCACATTGGTATCGGCAGATGGACCCCACATCATGATTTCCCTGGAGGCAGCGAGGCAGTAGCAAGTTGGCATTAGGTATGACTGGGGGAATATCACATTCTAATTTGCAGTAAGCTTCTGGGAGAGACCAGAGCCCATCCTCAAGGCAGGTCAACCACTGGTTCATTCCTAACTCCAGGAAACATAAAAGAGAGAAGCTCAAATAGAAAGCTGGAAAAATCCATAGTGATTAGAAGCGGATTAACCTGGGGAGGCACAGTGGCTTCTTTGGAGCGGGTGACAATAGAAGTGAACACCAAGTACAATAAGATTTCTTTAAGGTCTCTAATCCACAACAAAACAAAAGCAAGCCTAAATTTCAGGATGCTACTCAAAGGCATAACTAGGGTGAGGTTTCAAGCATGTAGTTACAGGGTACTAAAATATAGAGGGTGCTGACAGCATCTGAATTCCTTCAGAAGCCATTAGCTGAAATAGGAAGCTGTCAGGTGGCATGCTTCTACCCTACCCCTGCTGTTGCTATACCCTAGGTGAGCTTTTCTTCACCTTGCTCAAACTCTGCTCACCTGTCCTTCACCTCCACTTAATTGAATAGGTCCTAAAAAGGTGATTTGAAGGTATGTCTCATGCTTTCCCCAAATACAGAAATTGATAGTTTTAGCTCTGAATACACTAATTTATGCAACTCTTTTTTTGCATAATATAAAATTTCTATTATTACAGACAGAACACCTATTTTAATTTTTAATATGAGAGAAGGATTAACTGCGTGAAAGAAGGGTTTATTAGGTCAACTTTCACCACACCTTCTCCAATAATAATTATTGTGGAATGACTGGCTAAATCATGAAAAGGAATTAAGATTCCCAATTGATTCTGGCCTGAAAGAAATAAGGAAGGATGGAACCTTCTCACTAATGGAGATCTAAAATACTATCAATCAGGGAAAAGTAAGTAAGAGTACAACAGGGATTTGGAAGTGGGGAAGAGAAAGAAAACAGAAAATGGCAGCGGGGTGGGAGGAATGGTGCAACAAGGGAATAAGATGCAGAGAATTTCTGAGTCTGAAATTCCAGGATGATCATATACTTATATGAATTCCAACTTGATGATACCTTGAAGTTTGGCTGGTGAGATACAGGAGAAAGAACAACGTTTCAGAAAGGCAGTTCCTTCTAGGCAGGAGAAGCTTGCGTAGTACACATGTGACTGGTCAGGAACACCACAGTCAAGGGGGACACAACTGACAGCTTGGTCCCAGTGGCCAGAGGAACATGTGAGCAGAATCTCCTTCTAAACAAAGACAATTTAAAAAGACAATCAGGACCGTCCACAAGCTTGGAAAGAGTCTAAGACAAGGAGTTGTGGGCTCTTTTCCTCAAGCTGCAAATATTAATAAAGCTGTATCAACATGGGCCCTAGATATTCCTTGGTAGATCCACAATAGTCAGCAATTTGACTGATCACAGAAGTCATGCAAAGGTGGCAGAGTAAAAACACTGTTACACCTTTATTGTCTTACAGATCAAGTACTTAAAAAAAATACCTCAGAATCATAGAATCTGTACACCAACTGTGTTCTGACCAGAGTAGAGTATTGTGGAACGATCACATCTCCAGTAATGGCCACTAAATTTCTCTCCAAGCAGCCTAAGGTCAGTCAGTGCCTTTTTAGGCTTCCATAATACACCACTAAGGCATAAGGAGATGGAAATCCATGCAAATTTCCACATGAACTGGTCTAGCTATTTACATTTATCACTATTGCATTTTTAAATGGGCATTATTCAATGATCTTTCAATCTCGAGATTCTTCTGTATTCTTTTTCTGTCACTGTTCATCAATGAGCATTTATTAAATGACTAATATGTGTCAAGCACTGTGCTAAGCACTAGGGATACAAAAACAAAACAAAACATTAAATGGCCCCTGCTCTTAAGGAGCTTGCATTCTCTTTGGGGGATACAATATGTTCACATAGCAGTAAATAAAGTATATGTGTATGCATATATACACATGTACATATATATACATGTATATACACACATATAAAACACACATACACATAAAACATATATACACACACTTGTGTGTTTATACATATACACACACACACACACACACACACACACACACATATATATATATATATATATATATGCACACATGTATGTATATAAAAATGATGAGAGAGTGGTGGAGTCTAACAACTTTTTAATCAGAAAAAAGCCTTTTGAAGGAGAGCTCATTTGAGTTAGTCCTTCGAGAGAGTAAAGAATCCCAAGAGATAAAGGTAAGATGGAAGAATATTCCAAGCATAGGGACAGCCTATTCAAAGGCACACTGACAGGAGATGGAATGTTATTTATGAGGACTAGCAAAAAAGTTTCTTAGACTGGAATGTAGACTGTGGTAGGAGGAGTAATACAGAATTATTATGAAAAGATAGAATGAAGCCAGATTGTAACGGGCTTTAAATGCCCAACAAAGGAGCTGGTGCTTTATGTTAGAAGCAAATCAAATCAACAAGCACTTATTAAGCACCTACTATGTGCCAGGCACTATGCTAATGCTTCTTGAGCCAGGGAGTAACATGATCAGTCCATTGATCAAAGGGTCAAAGAGTATAGAGGCAGATGGTGGAACAGTGGATAGAGTGCTCACCCACAGTCAGGAACATTTGAGTTCCAATTCACACTCAGACATTTACTAGCTATGTGAACCTGGGCAAGTCATTTAACTTTTGTTTGCCTCAGTTTCTTCAATTACAAAATGGAGATAGTAGCAATATATACTTTACTGGGTTGTTTTGAGGATCTTGTGAGATAGTATTTGTAAAAAGTTCTTAGCACAGTGCCTACCACATATAAGTGCTTATGCCTTTCCCCTTCCCTAAAAGCCCAAGAACATATCTTTGGATCACTTGTTAGAGCTGTCCATTCAAGTTAATATTGGTTAATATCAATGACTATTCTTTTTATTTCATCATTCTACACCATCTTTGAAGACAGGGAAAATTTCCATTTCTTACTGTAAAATTATTAATCACAAAATCCTCATTCCCCTTTCCTTCACAAGAAGAGCCCTGAAGAAAAGATCATTTATCAGAGTGACCAAAGGCCTAAGGTATAGACAAGAGACTGTCCTTGAGACCATCTTACAGAGCATCAAACCATAATAGGACCAGGGTCATAAGTATAATAACCAGCAAAATTCCTCATAATCCCTCTCACTGCACATATGATGTTTCCAATTAGATTCTATAGTTGTCGAATTCAAGTGCAGATAGACGCATTTTCAGAAGAAACCATATCTATCACCTTCTCATCATTTGCCAAACCATCCCTAGAAATGCCTCAACTTTGCCAGCCTCTGGAAATGGACAAGAGTCAACTGGAGAATACCTTGTGGACGAACTGCATGTGACTGATAAAGGTCGCACTATCATTTTTAGTCTGTGGCTCTCATCTCTAAAAAGTTCTAACCTACTACCCCTTTGATAAACACCACCACTGTTTCTGGCCAGTCTCTGTCTCCTATACCTGGAAGTTTGTTCCAAACTCTAGTTCTTGTATTTCCATCGTAAGAATGTTTGTCAGGCTCTCTCTGTGTTGCTTAGATCATTATCCATCTTGTTCAACTCTGTGCAACTTTTTCTCTTGAGTTTCTTAAGATGTTTTAATGGGCATATAACATTTTCAGTTTCACTTTCCTTAGCTCCAGTCACTTCTCAAGAAATAAGTTCTTCCATTCGTCTTTCCCCATTCTTTTTTTTCATGACTTTTGTTCTGTCTTACATTCTTTTTTCTTTCTCTCCTTTCTGTGTAACCATCTGCCCTTTTAGTTATTGGATTCGAATGGGCAAATATTTATTCATCACATACTATGTATGATACATCATGCCCAAGGCATGGAGAATTGAAAAATTAATTAGGTGTTGCCCTTGCTGTCAAAGAGCTTACAATATTGTAAGGAAGGTTAGATGTACATACAAGTAATTATTCTGCAAGGCTCAGTATGTTAAATATAATCAACCAGATACTAGAGTTCAAAGGTGGGGCAGTTTTAACTTTAAATGTCATAAGGATATCCACGATAATATTAAAATAACACCACTAATAGAATATTAGTAACACATTAGTATTAATTGTACTAATGGTACAATTAATAGTACTACTTTATAGTAATAGTACAATTAATTAATAGCAATAGTATAGTTAATAGTACTAATTTATCAATGAGTAAAAATAGTATATTAATATTGAAATTACAAGTATACAATGAATTTATAATAACCTATATTTAAATCAGTATTCTTTTAACAACAATATTACATTTATTATATTCAGTTCTCACTGTTTTGGGGTGAGGGGAGTTGAGACCTATGATTTCATTGGCAGAGGGAAATTCCAATATAGAAACTTCCTTTGTCCATGCAGATTACTGATTCATTTGTATTTTATAGTCTTGGTGGTTTGCCTGGAATATTGAGTGACTGGTCTGTGACCACACACGTAGCGTAAGTCAGAAGTAAGGCTTATATAAATGTCAGCTATAATTATGCTGCACTGCCTTTCCATTCTTATGCTGTGAAAATGCCATTTATATACAGGAGAAACTCACAAGCAGTAAGAAAAGACTTTTCTATATCTAGTTCTGCCAATGTAGCTCAACCTTTATCTAAGTTAGGACTATCTAGGGGATAGTGGAAGACGGTTTTACCCTTCTTGCTTGTTTCACTGATAGAATCATAAAATAATGGTTTCCTGTGCTATGTATTTTTATCTAGATTGTACTAAGCAAAAGTCCTGAGCTCCCAAGTTTGGCATGAACCATTACCTGCTGGACATCTCTACCTGAAAGTACCATAGGCCACCCAGGTCAACGAATCAAAATTGGACCTCATCACATTTTCTCCCAAATCTGGTCTTGCTCCAAGTTTTCCCTTTTTCTCTTGTGGGTACTACCATCCTTCCAGTCAGCCAGGATTACAACTTCAGACTCACTCCTGACTCCTCTCTCTTCTTTACACCTTATATTCAATCAACTGTTGTCTCACCAATTCTACATCCATACCATCTTCCTTGTACTCTTTCCAATCACAGCATCTGAACCTTACTTCAGACCTTCTTTCTTCTAATTTGAACTACTACAATAGCTTACAAACTGGTCTCCCTGAATCCAGGGTCTCCCTTTATCGATCTATCCTCCATAGAACTAAGCATTACTCTCAAAACGTAGATCTGACCACATCACATCCCTATTCAAAAATATTTGATGATTTCTTATTGCCCCTAGAATGAAATAAAATTCAAACTCTTCTGTCTGGCATTTAATGTCTTCAATAATCTGACTCTTTCCTTTAGGAGTCCTTCGATCTCCATTCCACAGTAATATTATAAACACCCAAAAGTAGAACTATAAAAGCGAACTTCAGGTCATTCAGCTTAGTTCACAGAACTTAAACTTCCATTGTTTTATAAACTAAGAGTGGAGTTCACTTGGAGTAGCAAGCCTCAGGGGCCAAACCCTTCCTAGCTTCCCTGATCCTGGAGAAGGGAAGGAAGAGAGAAGGCAGAGTGGCTAGAAGGAGAAAGTCTCTAAGTGGTTCTCCAAAAGGCAAAGGCAGAGCTCTCTTGTCGCTATCCTTTATGATTGGGTGGGGGAAGTAAAGAAAGTACAGACCTCCCTCATACTCCTCAGCACCACTTGCTGTTAACATTAGTTTTCCAAGAGATTAGATTTGTTCTGGCTGGACCCACAGTTTGGGTACTAGTATCAAATATTGGAAGATGTACAAAGGCAAATTTGGGCTTGATGTCAATAAAAAACATCCAAACAATAAGAGTTATCCCAAAGTAGGAGAAAGTAGGTTCCTCCTCACTTACTGGAAAAGTATTTTCCACTCCTGATATGCCACAATCTCTCTAGGTATGTGTGATCACTGATTTGAGTGTAGAAAATGTTTTCCTTTGACTTAATATGTGGGTGCATTGAATATATTTGCCACTCAAATGATTGTTGAATGAGTGAGTGTTTGTAGACAGATTACTGGAATTCATGAAATCTAACCAAAGAGCTAGAATGAGCCAAGCAACCATTGCCCAACCGGGGGTGGGGATCCTGTGGTCTCAAGTCCACATGTGGTCTTCCAGGGTCCTTGAATGTGGCCTTTTGGCTGAATCCAAGTTTTACAGAACAAATCCTTTTATTAGGGGGATTTGCTCCGTGAAGTTTGGATTCAGTCAAAGGGCCACACTTGAGAACATATAGGGCCACATGTGGCCTTGAGGCTGCAGGTGCCCCACCACTAAACCAATGGATTAGGGACTTCTGATGAGTAGTGAGGAACACTGGGGTAGGGATGATTTCTTTTTTTTTAAAGACTCTTTAAAAGAAAGGTCACAAAACTGCAGAATACCTAACCTTTGGCATCTCTGACTACTTTGGTATTCTAATCTCCAAAGCAAACTAGGATGGTCCTGTATTCAAACAGAAAAGCTTAAGCAATGGGAATATGCCAGGCATTCCTATTGTAACACAGGCCTGGAAAGAAATTCATCGTTTATTCAAACAAGCAAAATCTCTTATCTCAGAGGCACAGATGGTATATGTACAACCTTGCCATCTCTAAAGCCAAGGCCTTCTTTGTGAAGGTCCTTATCTGCTCCTTCATGGGAATTTTTTTTTAAATCTCAAAATGAAAAGCTTCCTGCACCCAGAAATTAATCCTACATGGTCATGTTGACTCTGTAGGTCCCTCCAACCAAGTACTACCTGACTTACCTGCATGGGCCTTAGTCTCTGTCCATTGCTAGCTTGGAGGATGAATCCCCTTTCACAGATGACAGCACATTTCATGTGTCCTGGGCTGCTGGATGTACAATTCACCACATCTGCATGGTCAGGTAGCAATGGCACACAGCTGCCTTGTTCTCTGTAAGGCTGATGGGCACAGCTGAAGAGGAGAATAAAGCATATACACCTTAAGACTGGCCCCGATGTGTGTGGTGACAACAACATAGTCTTCCTAGATGTATCTCTGTTTCTCTCTAACCAAGAATAGAAAAATGCCCTGGTTGTATTAAGAACTGTCTTTATACTTGCATTATACACCTGCATTATACTTGATGTATTTATTGGGCATAATGTTCATTAAACTACTGTTGAAATTATCAATCAAGAGTTAAGTGAGGTCAAATTAATCCAAAAAAGTTTCCAGGTGTTTCCTGTTTCCAATTTCTCTATCAAGGGATAGAGATATTGGCATTAATAGGAAAATGTGTGCACTAAGGAGTAACCCAGACCTATCATAATTCAGGGGAAAAAAAATTAGATCTCCATGTTTTTCTAAGATCATAAATGTTATCATTTCTTATATCACAATATTATTCAATAATATACTGCAATTTTTTCAGCTGTTTTCCAATTGGTGGGCATTCCCCCAATTTCCAGTTCTTTGGTGAAACCCAGAAGAAGACATTTCACTTAATGATCTTCAAAAAAGAAAAGAGAGTTTCCTGAGGGTTAAGTGGATTAGGTACAAACTTTGTTTGTAATTTTTGTAAGCTGAAACAATGTTTTTCACATTGAGATGGTTTATTAGCCTGGGCATTTTGAAGAGAGCCTAGGGCCCTTTTTGGAAGAGCAAAATGAACCAAATGCCAATGTTCCCATAGTTTCATTTGGTGGGAGCATTAGCCAAAGAGATTTTGTAACACATCCTCAGATTTTACAGGGGTCCTTCCTATCAGAGCTAGGGATCAATTGATCTATAAGTTATATTTTGGGGATTTTTCAAAAATTACTGATTATTATTTTTTGTGGAACTCTAGGCTAACAGCATTAACACTGTCCAAGTCAAGATTGTTGTTGTTGTTGTTGGAGTGGTTTGTCCTTCGTTCTTGTTTGTTTGTTTTTGTGAGGCAATGGAGTGAAGTGACTTGCCCAGGGTCATACAGCTAGTAAGTGTCAAGTGTCTGAGGCCAGATTTGAACTCAGGTCTTCCTGAATCCAGGGCCAGTGCTTTATTCACTGTACCATCTAGCTGCCCCTTGTCCTTTATTCTTGAAGAGGACCATGACATCAGACAGATGATAACATGACTTTCAATAGACTCTGATTTCAGTAAGGGAGGGCTGTGCAAGGTCACCAGCCTCACTTTCTCCTTCAGAGCCATCTCAGTCTAGTGGCCAGATATTCATCAGGAGGACTTGAGATGGCCCAGGATGCAATGGGAGACCCTGGCCCTTTTTAGCTAAGGTCTTTTCAGGTTCTCACTTTGAATGAAGTGATACTCGTTGAGTGAGTAGGCCTCTTTAAGAAGTGAATCAAAGGATGGCCCCTTCACTGGAAGGGAAGACTTCAAACCATCAGTGCCATATGTCACAGAGATGTTGCAAGAGTGACAGGTGACTGAGCAAGAGAAATGAGGTTACTAACAGAAAGCCTTTCGGGAACATAGCTTTGATCTCCTACACACCTTGAAGATTGAATAGCCCTCAATTTCAGTAGGAGCTTAATAAGTGCTTATTTATTTCCTTACTACTAAAATAATTGGATGTACTAGATGATCAGTTTGGTGCCACTGAGAATGCAGGGGATAGTTATATTAGGCTCCTAACATCCTCTTAGATATAGATAAATAAGATCACTAACCTTGGGCAAAAGTTGGCAAAAATTGCTGCAGAATAGTATGCTCAAAGGTGCAGTATCTGTGGAGCACATGAAGCACCCTAGGCTGACCCAAGTGATCAAGGGAGTTCAAGATGGTCAATTGGCATTATAACAACTATGCTTCAACAACAAAAGCTCTGCTTCCCTTACTCAGAACTAGTTCAGTCAGTGAGGTAGGTTTAGGCAGGAAATGTGAGCAAAGGGGGTTGTCAGAGGCTAAGAAAAACTGACCTTGTAGGTCATCAAGCAGCACTCAGGTGAGGCTCAGGAAGACAAAATAGAGCCTAGACCAGCTGAACTTCACCAAAGAAGCCCAAGCTGGGCTGGCTGTTTGTCAGATAATTGTTCCTCACCATTCTTCTTTGAAGATCAACTGAGCCCATTTCCAGAGGTCAAGGAAATTGCTTGGGAAAATAGCTCCAAAGAGCACACCCAAAGAAGCTGTGATCTTCTGTTGATTATGCGCACTCGAGAGGAAAATTCAACCATGTTCTTTCTAAAAACGAGGCCAACCAGAAAAGGTGCATGGAAATTAAAATGGAGGTAGGACCAAGGGCTGTCTCAGGTGAGAAGTTAGCACTTGTCTTAAAAATCTTTCCTGGGTATGTTCTGCCTGAATATATAGGAGGCTCTTATATAGCAGAGATGATAATGACTGAAGCTTTGGAATGAGTATCTCAGCTAAACAACAACCAGGTAACAGTTATATTCCAATCATTTGATGAGGAAAGTCTGAGGGTGAGGTCTGTTCCAGCACAACCTATGAGGAGGCAAGATCTCTGTGGCCTGAGTGAGGAGGCTTATCCATATCCAGACATGCTTAACGTTCCTCACCAAAGTCATAGGTGCCAGAGAACAACGGACACCAAAAGCCTGCTATGCAATGACCAAGCCAATCTTTTCATGGTTTCTGAATTGATTCTGACCAATTCCAATCAGTGCAGAGCACTTCGGGGGTACTATAGGCAGCAAGATTGGACTAAGTACCCAGAGACTGTGGTGTAATGGGTAGAATTCAGGGAAATTGGGAGTCAAGACCATCCTTAGGCACTTACTACTTACATGACCCTTCATTTAATCTCTGTCTGCCTCAGTTTTCTCATCTGTAAAATGTGAATAATAATAATAATAATAATAATAATAATAATAATAATAATAATAATAATAATGATAGCAACTACCTCACAGGGTTATTGTAATAGATACAAAGAAATGTAAAATACTTTGCGAGCTTGCTTGTTAATTTTTTTACTACTAAAATATTTGCAGATGCTGGATAATCAATTTGGTGCCACTGAGAATTCAGGGAATATTTATATTAGGTTCCTAACAACCTCTTAGACATCGACAAAGAAGGTCTCTAATTTTGGGCAAAGGCTGGCAAAAATTGCTGCAGAACAGGGTGATTGAAGGTACAGTATCTGTGGAGCACAGTGAAGCACACTAGGCTGACCCAAGTGGTCAAGGGAATTTGAGATGAAATTAAAGTGTTGAGTAAATGTCAGCTATCATTATTAAGGTATTCCTTCAGACAAATTTCAAAATCATATAAGATTCCTTGAAAGCTGCAAAAGCAGAGATAACATTATTCAATGATCCTCTGGTCATTAATAATAGAAAGTAAGACAACAGCAGGGAAAGATGTTCTCCATCTCCATCCACTCCCAGTACTTGGCAGGGGGGAGATTCAGAACAGAGGCTAGATAGAAGAGGCATTCCCGAAACATGTGAGGTTTTCCATATCCCTGATATAGGAATAACATTTTGTGGATTGTTTCAAGTTTCAGAAGACTGTAGAGACTTGTGGGTGAGATTTATAATGACCCAAAATATTTTGGTTTACTATTCATTTAGGAAAAATCATGTTACTCAGACTATGATACACAATTGGATAGGCCACTTATGACAATCATCCATCAATTTCTCTGCATGGCTATATATGTATATACATAGACATACATGTATTTATATTCTACATATACAAATCTTGGACAGGCACTGGAAATACACGATGAATTGGACCCAGGGTTGAAAAAGAAGAGTGTGGTAGATTACTATTGGGAAATTATACAATTCTTTTAATATTCCCAAGCTTCTATCCAAAATGAAGGCACATCTATTTATCCAGTCTTCTGGTAATGTGGTATAGGACTGCAAATTATAGAATGCTCCCGACCCTCAAGAATTGTGATTGTGGATCACAAAAAGCAATATAGAGGGACATGACAGCACATTATAAATGGTGAATTACAAAAGTCATGCAAAGAGTGTTATCATAGGATAGATAGATTGATAGATCAATAGATTGGTTTTTTTTAAAGGACTGATTGTGTAGCAAGAAAGAGAGAGAAAAGCTATGAGAGCCTCTTTACTCCACTGGTATCCTCAGGCTGTTAGAAGAATTCAAGGACTCTCTCTGCTGTCCCCATTCTCATTGGGTGGATTCCCCACAGCATGGTTATGAGAGAACATGTTCAGAAGTCATAGAGGGAGCAGCTAGGTGGTGCAGTGGATAGAGCTCTGGCCTTGGAGTCAGGAGGACCTGAGTTCAAATCCAGCTTCAGACACCTGATACTTATTAGGTGTGTGATCTTGGGCAAGTCATTTAACCCCGATTGCCTCACCAAAAAGCAAAAAACCCCCAAAAAAGCCTGAATGGCTTGCAGTCAACAATTGTTGGATGAAGTACCCACTTTGATGAAGTCATAGAGGCATTAAGATGTCTCAGGTGCAGAAGTTCTTATGAAGACTGAAGACTGAGTACAATACTGAAAGAGAGCACAGCTCAGAGCTCATGTTAAGTCATCTACCCCAGGACTCAATCAAGAGAAGTTCAATTTCAGACAGCCTTTGGTAGCCCCAAAGTGAAAGGATCCTCTGGAAAAGAACCTCGTTTCGATGAATGTTTTCACTGCAGGAGTGAGGTGAAACAGGTACAAAAATGGGCGGTGTGCACAACTCACTTTTATAACCTAGGTGGAATAGTAGATAGAGTGCTGGCCTGGTAGTCAAAAAGGTCTGTGTTCACATCCTACCTCAGACACTTAATAGCTGTGTGACCCAGGGCAAGTCACCTACCTCACAAGGTTCTTGGAAGGATCAAATGATATTAAATATTTATATATGTAATATCAAATGATATTATATATATATGTATGTATGTATGTATGTATGTGTGTGTGTATCCTAACAAGAAACCTGTGAGATAGCAATATATAGTAGATGGATAGATAGATAGATAAATAGATAGATAGATAGATAGATAGATAGATAGATAGATAG